CCGTCATTGTTGTTTGGCGGGTCCGGGCTGGGGATTCGAACCCGCCACCTTAGGTGTACGTGGCTGGCGCCTTAGCCGGTTGAGCTATAGGCACTGAGCCTGAACTTTATTATTAAGGGAGATTATATAATTTATAATAAAGGGACATTCCCCATCCTACGGGAATCTCTGGGCTTCTTACTTAGCCTGATGGATATGTCCTAGTCTTCCCTGTCTTTGCCATTTCTGCACTGGGCTTTGTCAGTTTGGCCTGACGTTGTATCAGTTGGTCTGATCATGTCATTGGGGTCACAGATGAACAGGTTTGAGGAATGAAGAGGTTTGACACAAAGTCTGTGTCTGGGGACTGAGGAACTCTGGGAGGAGCCCTCCTGAGCTAACCTGGGATCTATATTATCACAAAGCAGGAAAAGGTAGTTAGAAGTCACTTATCAGACATCAGCACTAAAAAGGTGGAACCTGGAAAGTTGCCGAACCTAGAACCTAGCATGTCCCCGATTTGTTTTGCAAAATCTCAGAACTTAAACAAGACTTCTGCCTCTAGTGTCAAGAGACCTTTGGAAGCCAGAGAATCTTTACCATAACCACTCGGCCTGGTACTGCCACACCTCATATATACCTTCTCCCTCGGAGGCCAGTTCTCTAATCTCCTCCAGATACACCACTCACTTGCTATTCTCATGATTCTCCAGGTCTCTTAATCAGGAAGTGAGTCAAAGATCAGGGCTCAGTTTCCCCGGCACCCCAGGCTCCACCAGTTGACTGGTCAGGGTAGCTAAGGCACTGTGAGAACAATTGTGCCTGACAGCCACATTCAGGCCAGTGCCCAGGACTTGGCAGTGAGCTGGGTGACAACCCTGAGCCTCCCTGGGAGCAGACTCCAGATGAGACAGTACTGGTCCAGAAAACTGAGAGCAGGATCTATAAGTGTGTGTGTGTGTGTGTATGTCCTGAGTGTAAGTCAGTGCTCATGTGAGTATTATCAGAGTGTGTGTGGTTTGTTTGTTTTTCTTGCAGTTTTTGGTCAGGGCTGAGTTTGAACCCGCCACTTCTGGCATATGGGGCTGGTACCCTACTCCTTTGAGTCACAGGCACCGCCCCGTGTGTGGTTTTCAGGGTATGAAAATTCTGTGGTCCCCAACTCCTGGGCCATAGGCCAGTTCCTAAAAGGCCACACAGCAGGAGGTGAGCAGCAGTGAGCCTATGAAGCTTCATCTGTGTTTACAGCGCTCCCCATCACTCGCATCACAGCCTAAGCTCTGCCCCTGGTCAGAGCAGCAGTGGCATTAGATTCTCACAAGAGCATAAGCCCTACTGTAAACCGTACATGTGAGAGACCTGGGTTGCCCACCCCTCATGAGATTCTAATACCTGACGCCTTGAGGTGGAGATGGGGCAGTGATGTGGCCCTGGGACCATCTAGGTGCAGGAAAACAAGATTGGGGTTCCCAGTGATTCTGCATTATAGTGAGTTTTAATTATTTCATTATATACTACAATGCAATTACAATAGAAATAAAGTGTACAATAAATGTAAGAACTTGAATCACTGGGAAAACATCCCACAACTCTGGGTCTGTGGGAAAATTGTCTTCCATGAAACTAGTCACTAGTACCAAGAGGGCTGGGAACCACTGTATGAATGGATATGTGTGGGTGTGTGAGCATGTGGGCGTCTGGCCATGGACCAGAGGTGTGTGTGATCAGATGTGTCTGAGTGTCTGTGCATGTACTGTGTGCAGCATGAAGTGAAGTGACTTGTCCCTTGGTTCCTTTGATCATCAGAACCTCTGTAAACCCCAAGGCAACTAGGGATGACAGACAAGCATGGCAGACGTCACTCAGGAGCAGACAGGTGAAGTGAGGTAAGGACAAGCAAAAGTTCTGGGGAGAGATCAGGACCACATTAGTGGGAGAGCTGGGTGCCAGGGTCAGGTCAGACAGGGCTCTCCCAAGAGCCTATATAGGGCTGGGAGTCAGAGGTATGAAGAGGGGCCCCTAATTCTCCTGCCAGGCCTCTTCCATCTCCTGGGTAAGTGCCTGGAAAGGGAAGCAGGGACAAGGACCTCTGGACCCATCCCTGCACCTGCCCTGCCTGGCCCTACCCTGGCTCTGTACCCTCTGGCAGCACAGTCAACACAACATGTTGCCTCACAGCAGGGGCCAAAGGCCAGAGTCAGCTCTCTTCATAAAGGAAGAGCACAGACTGGGCTGGCACTCAGAGTGTGCCAGGAGGGTCCTACCCAGGTCTAGGTGCCTGGTGGGGTGGCAGCCAGGTTGTTACCACAGGAGCCCAGTGGACAGGCAGACATGGGGCTGCTGACAGGGGATGTGCTGACAACTCTGGCCTTGGCCATGACCGTCTTCCTGCTCCTGGTGGACCTGATGCACCGGCGCCCACGCTGGGCTGCACGCTACCCACCAGGCCCCATGCCACTGCCGGGACTGGGCAACCTGCTACAGGTGGACTTCCAGGACATTCCTTACTGCTTCAGCAAGGTGAGGGAGGTGGTGGTGGAAGGTGGCAGGGGCCTGGGTCCTCCTAGCAGGAGACATGGGTGGTGAGCAAAGCCACCATCTGGGCAAGCACCCCCAGAAGAGGAAGCAGGTTGAAGTGGCTCCCTGAAGGACAGCATGGCCTTAGGGACAGTTTGAAATTTCCAAAGGCAAAAAAGCCTGGAGGTGAGGTGCGACTGGGCACTGGGTCTGCAAGCCTGTTGGACAATGCAGAAGTTATGGAAGGCCCAAGTCCCTTCTGATTACTCCAGAAGGAAAGGTCTGGGGAATGAGAGGAGGGTGAGGTTCACAAGGACCACTGAAATGAGGAAACTGAGGTTGAGAGAGGGCCGGTTCAAATGTCTTCTTGCTGTCAGTCCTTGGGTCTGGCTACTCACCTCGGTGACCCTCAGTCTCCTCCTCTGTGAAATGGGATTGCTGCCTGGGACGTGCTATCAATTCCAGTGACTTTTGCAACGTTATACATAGCTGGGTTGTTGGATACAAACTGAGTCCCTCAGCCATAGAGAATGGCCAGAGATGGGCCGTAGGCGGGGGGGGGGGGGGGGTGGGGGGGGGGGGCGGTCCAGAGGTCCTTGTCCCTGCTTTCCTTTCCAGGCACTTACCCTTCAGGCTGTTTCAGTGGTATTTCTACGGGCAGCCTCAGGGTCAGGGAAAGCTTGTGCAGGGAGCCTAGAAAGGGCAGCCTGGGGATCCCAATCTTGACAGTTGCCCTGATCCTCCCCCGCTGCAGCTGCAGCGCCGCTTCGGGGACGTGTACAGCCTGCAGCTGGGCTGGACACCGGTGGTCGTGCTCAACGGGCTGGTGGCCGTACGCGAGGCGCTGGTGAAGCACAACGAAGACACCGCGGATCGTCCGCCTACGCGCATCCTTGAGTACCTGGGCTTTGGACCTCACTCCGAAGGCAAGTGACAGCGGGGACAGATGGTGTCACGGCAGGTCCTGGAGACCTGACTGGACCCAGTGCGCGGCTGAAACGGGCCCTGAGGCCCAGAGGAAGGACAGGGAATGGGCTGGGGGTAGAGAGGAGGAGACCACGTGGGCGGGAAGGGGCGCAGCTCAGAAGGCCGCTGGCGGAGCCGCCCCGCGTAGTCCCTGAGTAGACAGGTAGTTAGGGTGGCAGAGGAGGGTGGGGCCAACGCCCAAGCAGAGGACAGACAGCAAGCGGCTAAAGTGCGAAACCCAAGAGCCGCACCAGGGTTGGATGGAGGAGAGGCTTCGAGTGGGCGGGGCAAGTATCCCTGGCCACGCCCACACGGCCGTCCCCTCCCAGGGATTTTCCAGGCGCGTTACGGCCCAGCGTGGCGCGAGCAGCGGCGCTTCTCCTTGTCCACTCTGCGCCTCTTCGGTCTGGGCAAGAAGTCTCTGGAGCAGTGGGTGACCGAGGAGGCCTCCTGCCTCTGTGCCGCCTTCGCTGACCACGCCGGTGGGTGGTGGGTGCAGAGGCAGGGAGAGGACCCGGGTGGTGGGTCTGGGTCGAAGGACCCCCCCCCCCGACCTGCATCCCGCCCCAGGACGCCCCTTTGGCCCCACCGAATCCCTGAACAAAGCGGTGACCAACGTGATCGCCTCGCTCACCTATGGGCGCCGCTTCGAATACGACGACCCGCGCTTCCTCCGGCTGTTGACCTTGATGGATGAGATTCTACCCGAGCAATCAGGCTTCCTGATCCAGGTGTGGGGAGATGGAGGCCACAGGTCTGTGCAGGGAGAGTTCCCGGCAGGTGCCTGGGCCTGCAGCTGGGCCTCTGTGAAGGAAGGTTTGCGCGCAGGACGATGAGAAAAGGGGATTGCTGGAGAGGCCACCCCAAGAGGAGAGGCACAGAGGCAGCGGGAAATCTCAGACAGCACTGTGGGAAAGGTGGGCCCAGGGTCACTGGAATATTCGAGCCAAGAAACCCAGGATATTCAATTGTGGGTTTATCCTTGTGTCAGCCCAGGGCCAGGAGAGAGTGTGGGACTTCCACTCTGGGAGGGGCCTGGTCAATGGTGGGGTCATGCAGGCCTTGTGTCCACCCTGGGGGAGGCTAGGATCTGAGACTGGTACAGGTGAATGCTGATCATGTGGGAGACCCAGACCTCCTTCTGTGACTGGCACAGGTGCTGAATTTTATCCCTGTCCTCCTGCGCATCCCGGGGTTGGTTCACAAGGTCATCCCTAAGCAGAGAGAATTCATGGCCCTGTTGGATGAGCTGGTGACTGAGCACAGGATGACCTGGGACCCAGCCCAGTCACCTCGAGACCTGACAGATGCCTTCCTGGCCGAGGTGGAGAAGGTGAGGAGCACTGTCAGGGACCGGGCCAAAACAGTGGCTTGATGGTCCCCTGACAAGTTGGTCCAGGACAGGTAGGGCAGGGCCAGTTCACCATCCCTGAGCTGGCCCATGGGTGACAGGTGCAAAATGGAGGGTCATTTGGGGCTTCCTCTTCTATCCCCCACCCTCTTTGCCTGGTCAGGCCAAGGGGAACCC